AAAGGGAATCCCGCGAATGAAATTCTTGCCAGAGCCGCCCATTGTAGAGCCGTGGGGCCGGCGCACCTGCGGCTGACCTGACCTGGCCTTTCAGGCGGCCAGAGGATCCACGGGGCTCACTCTCGCTCCCACCAAAGCTCCATGCTTCAGCGTAGCGCTATTTCCTTGCTCCTCCTCCCTCTCGATCTCTCTGTCTCTTCATCCTCTACTCTACTCTCATTCCGTTATTTTTTTCCTTGCAGTATTTCGTTCTCGTCCATTTAAACTCTCCCCCTTACTCGTATTTCGTTAGTACATATCCCCCACCCCATTTCCTCCTATTTATCTCCTGCCCAACCCACTCCCGTGTCCTTGTACCTTATATTAGCGTTTGTCACTTTCAGAGCTGTTCGCGGATCTCTGTCCCTCCATCTTCTTCTAGTCTCTCCCCTCTTCAGCGTGTACTTGCCCTCTACCCGACGTGGTATTTTAATTTGATCGTCTGGCCTTATTTGTAATTCAAAGTTTTTGAAACAGAAATAATAGGCGCCATGGCACCATTAATTTATGAGTGTATAAAATTCCGAAATGGAGACATCAATCCATCAATAGGGGCCTTATTTGTTGTGAAAGTTGTTTTGCAGTGGACCGAAAAGTTTCGTGGAAAAAAGCGGTAACCTGCACACAAACTTCTGCTTTACCTGAAACCAATCTGCAAGCAAGTCTGGCAACACATGCCATGCCTCCCCTACCCCGTTTGCGGGCCCAGCAGGAGCAAAGTCAACACAGTTCTTTTTCCTCTTTTACTCAGGGTATCGTGCTTCTGTCTCTCCCTCACGCCCCTTCTCTTCCTCACGCCCCTTTTCTCTTTTTGTGGTCAGGAAATTAAGACTTTGACCGTCACCCAGCTGTTCACCTTCAGGTATGGGCAACGCGAATGGGCTGACACACACTGTTAAACAGAAAAGAAGGTCAGAACTTAACGAAGAATGCGTTTTGAAAATGATTTTGGGGTACTCACAACTCTTTGTCGTAGTGGGATCTCACCAAATCGGTACTATCCCATTGTATAAGTGCCATAAAATCGTAAAACTATTGCAACAATGGTGGGATGCCTCTAAAATCAGTGGGACTGTCCATACTGACAAACCAGTCACTTCCAAGTTAACCAAAGAGGTGAACGAACACTCTAAATGGAAACCACGT